GGCAGTTCGCCACCAAGTAGCTCATCACCAAGGCACGTCACCACCAGGTCAAACACGAGGTACTTAGCCAAAAAATTTTACACATCCCAAAAAATGGTACGTGACCAAAAATGGTTACATCATACGGGAATGCCGTCAACCCACTATATTTCTCCTTTCATTTTAACTCCTACTTTTTGCTTCCACAGGAACGATTTGTTTACAGCAATCTGCTGTTACAATTTCAGCCTCAAAAGCTAATATAAACCTTGAGACAGCACCTGTTTCACTACCGGTCCAGCAACAACTTTTTCTTATTAACCCATACACACAAGAATAAGAAGAATCGCTTGTCAGTGTCACTTTTTTTCCTTTACAATTATATATACAATGATAAACACGTACATTTCTAGCTTGCAAGCCACAAGCTCATACCTGGTAAGACCACCTAGAAAACCATATGAAGTGCCCATGGCTAATCAGAATTTGTTTTTCAACATTTATGGCACCCATGTGGAACCCAGCCAACACACAGCCCCATGCTCAAGCATAAGATGGTTAAGAGCTCTACAAGTATAGAACCCCCGTCCCTTGAATTTTTAGATTTCAGATCATTCGAACTTAGGTCATTGGAGTACACCTAAATTAATGTTCGTCATTCTTGAAGCATTGAAAGACGCCCATTCAATATTAGAATAATGAGCAACTGTGAAGAAGAAAAAGAAGAATGGGAGGGAGGAGTGAGTTCGAACAAATTTTGGAATGGGAGGGAGGAGTGAGAGTTCGAACAAATTTTGGAATGGTCGATTTTTGTCATTTTGTGTCCGGTTGAACCAGCCACTTTACTCTCAATGTCACCCAGCCGACATGATCGCCTCTCATTGGCAGGTTCACGTATCCCGTGAACCCACGGATGCACAGAACGCAGACTCATTTCAAGGTAAGCAGTCCTTATACTGATCCCCATGAATTTGAATAGATTAAAAGAAAAACTTAATAAATGCAGTGTTACAAAGTCCAATACACCCCATCGGCATATTGGACTGTATTGATACTTTGAACTTGGATGAAAGTGATTCAGTTTCTTACAAAAACCAGAATGTTGCTAACACCTCATGAATCTATTCCATTACACAGAGATAACATTACCGTCTCCTTCGTTTCATATTTCTCATGCATTGGAATCCATCCAAATCAAAATCACTTTGGGCAGATTGGACAGACCAATAAGACATTGAATTAGACCATCGAGCCTTAATGGTCCAAAATATTTATTAAATTGGATTGGACATGGTCCATCCATAATGAATTTATATTGAATTGGGCTGGATTGAGACAATAGACCATCTATCGATAGAAGATAAGAATACAAGTGTCAATAGATCAAGCTTAAGTTGGAACCAATCTAAATTAAAACAAATTTGAACAAATTGGATGGTCCAAAATGGTCCAAAGCATTCATTGGACTGGATTGAATTGGACCAAATACAGTCTCCAATCCAATTGACACCCCCCCCCCCACCTCACCCCATGTAATGGCTAATCAAGTAACGAAACCCATTAAATGGTTATCAGGGAATCAGGGTTTTTAAGAAAGGCAAAACTGAGTTCACTCTTTCATGTATTTTGATCAATTGCCAACCGATCTTCGTGATGTACAGAACTATGTTTCTTGGCCTTTCAGCTAATACAGTTTATTCATCTCTATCAAAAATAAACAACAGAACCCATCATAATTCAGAGAATAGATCATACGCAGAACCAATAGGTCCAATACGAGCCCAGTGTGTTCTGCCAATAACGAGGATACACTTAAGAAACTAAGCTGGAAGCCTGGAAATTGGGACTCGGCAGTCGGACAATTGGTAACTAAGGGTTGGCTCGCTCTCTCGCACGCACAAATAAACGAAAAAAAAAGAAAAAGGTCTGTTGCCCAGGCTATAATAAATTTAATTAACAATTATATCACAGTAACCAATCTCACTTCAGAGAAGAGGGGCATCTTCAATAACCAGTGGTGTCTCTTGCTCATTCTGTATTTCTGTTCACGATAATGGTACATAGAAACTTGGTAGTAGTCTATGCATAAAGTTAGCCTAAAAGCTGACAAGACAAAATCTAATGACAAGGCATTTACTTCCACCACCTTTTTTCTTCGGCAATTAAAAGAAAATCTCGCAAAGAAACATTCAAGCCCCTCCTAGTACAAGAGAAGTCCCACTATGAAGAAGCTGCTGGAAATCCATTTAGGATAGACTACCTCCGCACGGGTGGCACAACACCCCTACCAGGTGCAGCACCACGACCAGCAGCTTGAGCCTGAAGAGATGACAAGGCAAATAAAGGTGTCAAATAAATATATTTTTGATTGTTTTAAAGACTAGTGATATTTGGTGAACCTCTGCTTACTCGAAAGTCAAAAGCTATAAACGGTTATTAGGCATTTCATTTTCTTTTCCCATTACAAGGGTTTTTCTAATGGAACCAACAAATATATTTAAACTCACAAATCAAAGTTCCACTTGCACCCCCCACCCCAACCCCCACTAAATAGAGTTTTTTTCTCTTCACTTTACTAATACTCTTTGTTTAACGTGTTATGAATGTGACTACTAAGGTTGTGTTTCGTGCCATTGCCATTTCAGGCTCAAAGGTTTAGAGAGGCAAACTGCCAAACTTGTTTGGTTGGTACTTATGGTCAGCTAGGCATTTAACAAGTTTAAAATGAAATGTTTATATTCAATGTGACACCACCTTACTACACTGATTTTATCCAATGTTCAAATTTAAAAATAAATGTTTTCTGATGATTAATTCATTATTACACATAGATTAACATCTAGATGCAGATCTAATGGTTCTAGAAGCATAGAACTAAAAAAGGAACCCTATAACTAAAAATTGGAACGAAACTAAAAAAGAAGCCTTGCTTAGGGTTTATGGGTATTAAACGGTGTATATCCATTTTAACAGCTACCTGAACACCAGAATATATCTCTAAGTGCCACATAAGATACCAATTAAGAACTAAATCATTGGACTGTTTCTTCAAACAGCCAGTTGATGGAGGATACGTCAATTTGGTGCCCCCCAACACCCCTTCATTTATGTTTATGTTTCTAGTATAAGTGTTTGATGACTGTTTTAACTCAAAACAGTCTCAATCAAACAGAAAATTGGCGTTTAAACTCAAAACACCTAGGTGGTGCTGATATATAGCAGCATTTCAAGTAGAAACAGTCACCGTACCAGACATCACCTAAATTACTAATGAAAATTTTAAGAATTCTCATCATTAATCAAAGAATAGTAGATGACCCTTGGTTTTTATGCTAACTTTAATGGACATCAAATAATAGTGAAAACTTACTCTAGCTCGCATTGCAACGGCACGGCCACGGCCAACTCCAAGTGAAGTGCCTTTACCCTTCAAGAAGTAGATAGAGAAATTAAATGGATTTGAGGAAGATCTTGGAAGATAAAAAGCAAGCACAAGCATAGCACCCTTACCTTGATTCTAGCATCCAGGCGCTTAAACATTGGAGCATTCTTGAGCATATCAGGTATGACCATAAACCTGAAGGAGACAATAACTTCAATTAGGAATCGGTTGTAGTTAATTCCTCAAAAATAACTATTCTCAAATAGAAATAACAAAAGAGCTACCTGACTTTGCTACCTCGGATGAATACATGCTCGAGCTGTGACACCTTCCCATCCTATGGATAAGATAACACATCAGCAACAAATATAAGTCAGGGTATAGATTAGATGAGATGTATATTAAGTGAAGAATAACTACATATCAGGGCTGAGACAAAGAATTAAACTCAAAATAGCAAAAAAAATAGATGTATGATGACATTCAGGTGAAACATCGATTTATTGAGATATAGTAAATAAATAATGAATAAACTAGAAACATAATATCTTTCCTTGTGTCTTAAACAACAATTTTGGATTATTATAGTATTCAATAAATCCTCCATCTCCCTGATTGCAACTAGATAAACCTCAAATATAAACGGGAAATAATGACAAGGGAAGTGGGATAGACATGTGTTGTAGTGTTTAAAGACACCTTGGCAAATACCTTATCAAGCTACCCATTTCTTGTTAGAGATTGGCAAGGGCTAAGCTCCACTCAGTGCTACAAGGTCTTAAATCAGCCTTCTCTTTGGGCTGGAATGACTTGGTCGTTGTGCTTCATAGAGATGCACTGGTCAAAGCTGTATCACATTACCGAATAAATAATGTAATATGCCTACCAAATAAGTACCACTGTTGACTGTACTAGTACAAAATCCAGTCGCGATCTGCATTAGCCATTAGGTTCGAAGTGGAATCAGTTGCATGACAACCCGTCGTACCAGGGCATTTGATAGGGCTTATCAAGTCTAAAGTATCTGGGAGTCACTTATTTAAAACTATAACTCATGGACGATTCGGAACTGAAACCAGTGCCAATAAGGTGCACCAATTGTGAAAGCTGAAGGACCTAAGATCTAGGGTTTTATCTTAAGGTTTACACATACAAATCAGAAAACCACAAATCATATTAAGCATGCCCGCGCATAGAAAGAGAAAGAACCGGAAAATACAGAAAAACGTGGTATCTCTAAGAAACCGAGAAAGGAGGAAGCACTGAAAAGGAAATTGAAAAAAAAAAACAAAGAAAAAGAAAAAGAAATGACAAGGAATACCTTGGCGGTGAAGGTAATGTTTTCTAGTTGGCAATTCCAGTTGTCTTCGCATTCAATCATGCTACCTCTGTAAAGCTCTCCGCTCTTTAGTTCCACCGTCACCACATGCCCTGCTGCTTCGTGTAGGAGCTTTACTGGTATCCCCAAGCTCCTGCTCATGGCTATCTTTCTTCTGTCTCCCCAAAACCCTACTATGACCCGAGTACTAGATGCCGATTTGTAATTATAGAAGCATATCAAATAGCGTAAGTTTTTTAAATTATCCCTACTTTTTGTGAAATTAACTAATTCCACCCATACTCTATAGTTATTGTCTTAAAGTATCCTTAACTTTTTTTTCAATTGTCTAAAACCTCCCTTGTTATTTCATGAGAGCGGATTTGGCCCTATCATTGTGACACGTGGCATCTCGGAACAATTAGGTGACATCCGGAACCTCTTAGGCAACAACTTGCTTTAGCCAAGATGATGGTGTCCCAACTGGCGACCTGGCACAGGCGCCGAACTAGCGACCTACGAGATGTGCTTGCCGACAAATTCGGCATGCATATCCCAACACTCCCACGATCCTTGGAAGTTGGCCCACGTACCGAACGATCCGGAGGGTGGTCAACGTGCATGGCAGTTGCCTCTGGGAATCTCAGACCACTTAGGCGACCTCTCAGAAATCTTGGATATGGTGCATGAAGCCCACGCCAAACAATGCCTATATAAAGGGCACCAACCCCAATGACATGAGGGGGCAAGTAAGCATATTCCAGCTCTCATACTTTTGTGATTTTTAGCTCGCAATCTACTATGAGAGTACTGACTTAAGCATATTCTAGCTCTCATACTCAACATGAAACCCACAACACACAACATTGATCAATACCCACCCATTCACCACAACAGATCTGAAGGTAACTTCATCATGATGCTTCGACCAGATTCCATTTGTCAATATCGATTCAATGGAGCATGACGACGAATATAACAAAGATGAAGCATTGCTAAATTGATGAATCAATTTTTGGTGAAGTATCAGTTTTTTGTGCTAAGTACCTCATCATTCGGTCTACTTCCAAGTGGCCGATGACTCAAAGGCCGAAGTGGAGATTTTTGCTGGGTGAGGACCTGGAGGTCGAGCTATCTATTAGGTGCCGAGATGCCTATTAGGTGCCGAGCTGACCAGAGTGTCCAGCTGCCTATTAGGTGACGAGCTGACCAGAGGGCCGAGCTGCCTATTAGGTGCCGAGCTGACCAGAGTGTCCAGCTGCCTATTAGGTGTCGACCTGCCTATTAGGTGTTGAGCTGACTGGTGGCGAGCTAGATTGATTGTTGAGCTTCGTAGTTCTTTAGAGACCTGCAAGGAATCAATGTCAGAGGACCCAGGGTGGCTAACCTGACGAGGTCGCTCCGATGATTAAGTCAGTACTCTCATAGTAGACTACGAGCTAGAAATCGTAAAGTATGAGAGCTAGAATATGCTTACTTGCCCCCTATGCCATTGGGGTTGGTGCCTCTATATAGGCATTGTTTAGCGTGGGCTTCACGCACCGCATTCGAGATTTCCAAGAGGTCACCTAAGTGGTCCGAGATTCCCGGAGGCAATCGCCACGCACGTTGACCACCCTTCGGAACCTTTGGTACGTGGGCCAACTTCCAAGGATCGTGGGAGTGTTGGGATAGGCATGCCGAATTTGTCGACGAGTACGTCTCGCAAGTCGCCACCTAGACCTCAATTAGGTCGGCATGCCCTCGAGGGAGGTCGCTCCTTGCATCGAGATCACTTCGGCTAGTGATGAGGTGCTGCAGGTCGACCCTGGACGAGGTGCTTCTTGCCGACCTGAATTGTGGTCGAGGTCGCCAGGTCGGCGCCTGTGCCAGGCCGCGGCACCTGTGCGAGGTCGCCAAGTCGGCGCCTGTGTTAGGTTGCTAGGTCGGTGCCTGTGCCAGGTCGCCAGTTCGGCGCCTGTGCCAGGTTGCCATCATCTTGGCTATGGCAAGTTGTTGCCTAAGTAGTTCTGGGTATCACCCAGTTGTTCCGAGATATCACGTGTCACAATGTCATTGGAGGGCCAAATCCACCCTCATCAATTGTCCTCCACTCCCGAGATGAAAGTAACTCGACGAAGGGAGTAGATTGCTCCTTTTGGCCTGGAATGACTAATTCGATGAGCTCATAAGCGTCGATCCAATTTGCTTCTCAGGTTGGAAGAGTCCAAGCATTTGCAGCCTTGTGTAGGACCTCGCCACCTTTATTTTCGGGGCCCGAGAGCGAATTCATCTGCTCGAGGAGAGGTGGAGCAGGTACCCCGAGGACATCTACCTTATTAGGGATGTGACCATCAAGAGGTTCTGAGATCCGGCTAAGTACCTCAAGAGTGAAGCTCATCATGCTGTCCTTAAGGGGGGGTTTTGTGTGACTGCTTTATCAGGTTGCTCCACCTAGGTAGACTTCGACACAGCGTTCTTCAAGCTGGCCCTAGCCAGTGAGTTTGATGCGGAGCCTGCAACCGAGGTGGAGGTCGGCTATGAAGAAATCAAGTTTGCATCCATCATGGTGTTGAGAGCAAATTAGTCTTTCTTTTGTTTTCTCGTGCTGAATACGAACTGCTTTAGCCCTTAGGCTCTGGGAGCAACTTGCAGTTCACTCTCTTTACCCTTGGTTTTGCCCATGCCGAAGAGGCGACTGGGTCTTATGTGGTGCCGAGGTCTTTTATCAGTTTGGCACTTTAGAGCTATGGCTGCGCTGCATTAGTCTCGTTAGTGACATCGGTCACTCACTCCTACAAGAAGCTACTGGGAGCTCGACCTAAGGGGGCAACACTACTGACTTTAGGTCACCAGCTTGCATGGGAGCCTTGGAAGGCTCGATCGGCAAGAGGCGTCCATACAGTTCGTTGGCCGCCAACTCCCGCAGAAGCCACGAAGAGCTCATCTTGTAGAGGGTACCTCGTGAAGAGGACTGATGATGCTTTATCCGAGTTGAAATAAAGTCGGCAGAGCTGCTTAGTCTGTTGGCCATCAACTTCCTGCATAGTCTTTGAATTCATAAAAAATGGAAACTAGAAAGTGAGAGCTTCAATTTCTAAAAGGTGAGAACTTAGCTTTCTGGAAGAAGAAGACTTAGCCTTTAAGAAGATGAGAACTTAGCTTTTTGTAGCATCTCCCACGGACGGTGCCAATTGATGAATCAATTTTTGGTGAAGTATCAATTTTTTGTGCTAAGTACCTCGTCATTCGGTCTGCTTCCAAGTGGCCGATGACTTAGAGGCCAAAGTGGAGAAGTTTGCTGGGTGAGGACCTGGAGGCCGAGCTGCCTATTAGGTGTCGAGCTGCATATTAGGTGACGAGCTGACCAGAGGGCTGAGCTGCCTATTAGGTGTCGAGTTGCCTATTAGGTGCCGAGCTGGATTGATTGTTGAGCTTCATAGTTCTTTAGAGACCTGCAAGGAATCAATGTCAGAGGACCCGGGGTGGCTAATCCGGCGAGGTCGCTCTGATGATTAAGTCAGTACTCTCATAGTAGACTGTGAGCTAAAAATCATAAAGTATGAGAGCTAGAATATGCTTACTTGCCCCCCCTATGCCATTGGGGTTGGTGCCTTTATATAGGCATTGTTTGGCGTGGACTTCACGCACCGCATCTGAGATTTCCAAGAGGTCGCCTAAGTGGTCTGAGATTCCCGGAGGCAACCGCCATGCACGTTGACCACCCTCTGGAACGTTTGGCACGTGGGCTAACTTCCAATGATCGTGGGAGTGTTGGGATAGGCATGCCGAATTTGTTGACGATCATGTCTCGCAAGTCGCCACCTAGACCTCAATCAGGTTGGCACGCCCTCGAGGGAGGTCGCTCCTTGCGTCGAGGTCACTTCGGCTAGTGATGAAGTGCTGCAAGTCGGCCCTGGACGAGGTGCTTCTTGCCGACCTGAATTGTGGTCGATGTCACCAGGTCGACGCTTGTGCCAGGTTGCCAAGTCGCCAGTTCGGCGCCTGTGCCAGGTCACCAGGTCAGCACCTGTGCCAAGTCGCCATCATCTTGGCTAAGGCAAGTTGCTGCCTAAGTGGTTCCGGGTGTCACCAAGTTGTTCCAAGATATCACATGTCACAATGTCATTGGAGGGCCAAATCCACCTCATCAATTTGTCCATTTCCCTAAGCTAAACGTAGCATCTTTAGGTTCTAAAAGCTATCCTTCTAAATCCTTCCATCCCTTCTTAAACTCCACCGGATTCAGCGTCCGATATAGGTCGAAAACCGATCGACAAACCAACACCGATGGAAAGCCAATACTAACAAATGGACGCTTCGACGCACAAACGGCGATTGAGCGCTATGAGATCAAAACCCAATGGTTTCTGATTGAAATGAACTGATCAGGTGTTTGTTTTGAAGAAAAAAATGGGATGGGAAGAGAGATCTGAGACGCGGGTTCCCAAAACTCGATACGCGGGGTCGCACCAAAATGGTGAGACCCCAATGAGAATGGAAAAAAGCCATTCGTGAGAAAATAATGTCGAGAACGCCAATCCAGAGTGTTATCTTCTCCTCATACGCCATCCAACGGTCATCTCGCCAGTGCCATCTCCACGATTTTTTCGAAGGCAAGCTCGGATTTTGCATCCTCTGGCGACTTGCGTTCATTTTTTAACCATTATTGTCTTCTTTCATTGAATGAGCTCCCCCTTCAAATCTCACCGTTGTCTACCTTCATCCCTGGTCGTCCAGACCAATTTTCATTGCCAGAAAACGGTTGATCTACCGTTCAAGGCGTTGTTCTTCCATATCGACAGCCATTTGCGTTCATTTTAACGTCGGAGCTCTAGATATGGCTTCCGGCGTCTGCCTCTTCCAGATCTCGCGTTTTATTTTTGATTTGTATCAGGTCATATCAAGCAAACCAAATAGGGGATTTTTAGCTTGACGTACCACATACCCTGTATATGTTGATCGTATAATCTCTCTTTCATTTTTTCTATGTGTTGATCGATAGAAGTCTACTTTCCATTGTCATTTTTTGTTTCGTTTTTACATTCATATGATAATCTGTCTCTGGATCAGAACAAATGTTGAATAAACATCAGTCACCATGGGTTTCTGTGTTCATGTTTTTTTTTTGTTTTCATTTTTCTTTTGAAGTTGTCATACCAGAAAAATAAAAAACACCTTCTTGAAATGTATTTTTGCATTAACATTACCTGTCTGCTTCCTCAGTATAGA